CCATCCACCAGCTCATTGCATAAAGACCCATCATGGGTGAGATGGCTTTCCCTGTGCTGCAGTGCCTACGTGGCTTTCAATGCAATGTTCACAGCTTCATCTCCACTCACTTTACTATCCCAACATTTTTCATGTACTTTCTGATGAGCTGAAATCGGATTCTATGCAGGATTGACCACACACACACACTCCCTTCCCTTCATGGTGGCAGAGTGGCCCCGCACTGCTCCCTCAGACACCAACAGTTGTGAGCTGGCACCTGACAGATGTCCAGGTGCTGGGCTATACCAGCAGGTGGCCACTCAGTCTCCTGCCATCACCCACATGAGGCTCAAGTCACTCAGGACAGAGATGGCTGTCCCGTAAGACATGAGCCAGCCTTACCTGACAGTTCCCACCAGCTCAATTTTCTCCCAAAACAGTACTCTGTGGAATCATTAAAACTCTTACCTAGTTAGCCCAACAGCGGCAACTCCTGTGTAGCACTCACAGAGCTACCCTGAAGGACACATCTGCCCGGGAGCCCGAGGGATGTGTGTAAAGACGAGGGCTACCTCATGACTCAGGGGCAGCAGGACCCAGAGGTCAGGCTCCTGTGCTCTCTGACAGGCTCTGTGGCAGAGCTGTGTCCAGTCACATCCTGGACACCTAACCCTCGCCAACACCCTCCTGCCATATGCCTGCTGCTTGGATGGTGTGTTTGCTGGGCTCTGTTACCTCCTCCCAGGGAAGGCAAAGCTAATTCTCCCCAACAGTGTCTTCCTTACGTCCTCTGCTGCAGTCCAAGGGCTGGCTGAGCCTTTCCCTCCTGGACACTGCTGTGAGCTCCATAGCCCAGGTCCCATACTCACCAGGAGAGCCATACTCGTGCCGGGGCAGGCGGCAGATCTTGGGCATCACCTCCATAAGTGTCTTCACGTACTGCAGGATCGTACCCTGGAGCTGGGGACACAGGGTGCATCTGCTACAGCCTCCACTCTCTTGGAGGCTGCGGTGAGCATGCACTGGGAGAAAGCGCCTGTTAACAGATCAGGCTATAGCACTGCACTGGCTGGGGAAGGAGATCCTCTGGGGATAGTAGTGACTAGGCATCTTCGTGGCTGAACACATTCACACTGTAAATCAGAGTCCTGAGGGGGGCAGGAGCGCTGGGGTCCCAGGCCCCCCCACTGCTGATGACCCTCAGTCTGGACCGTAGTCCCCAGGTTGGGGCAACAACCAGCTCTTCCCATGGGGTCTATACAGCTACAGGGCTGCGCTGGTCACCTGATCAGCTATGGCACAAGAATATCAGCCTCTTCCAACCTGCACACATGGGGCAGAGCCTCAGCAGTCCCAGGGTCAAGGCTGAGCAATCTCATCTGCGCTCTAACTGTGAATAACTGTGTGGCTGCAGATTCATCAAATTCTTAGAATTCTGTTAGCGCTGTCTCCCTGTCAATGGATGGCCATCTCATTTCCTCAGTCAGGTCCTACTCAGTTCAGATGGCCACACATTCAGCTTCAAGCTTTTTGACTAGCAGATGAATAATGGGAGAGATGAAAATCTATACTCAGTGATAAAAAGTAATACTTTGCTATCAGGAAAAAGACAAGGATGTCCACTATCACCACTCCTGTTCAATATAGTTGCAGAAACACTAGCCACAGTAATTAGACAAGAGACAAATAAAAGTAATAAAGATAGGAAAGGAAGAAGTTAAACTCACTATTTGCTGATGACATGATACTCTACATAGAAGACCCCAAAACACTGCTCCAAAAGACTTCTAGACTTAACTGACAGATTCAGCAGAGTAGTTCAAACAAGGTCAATACTCAAAAATCAATAGGCTTCTTGTACACAAATAACAGACTCACTGAGAGTGAAACTAGGAAAACAATTCCTTTCACAAGAGCATCCAAAAAAATGAAACATCTAGGAATCATTCTAATGAAGGAGACAAAAGACCTCTATGCTGAAACCTACAGCACTCTGAAAAAAGAGATTGAAGAGGATATAAGAAAATGGAAAAACAAGCCGGGCGTGGTGGTGTATACCTGTAATCCCAGCACTCAGGAGGCTGAGGCAGGAGGATCATTGTGAGTTCGAGACCAGCCTGGGCTACATAGTGAGTCCCCCCCCCCAAAAAAAATCCCTTACTCCTGGGTTGGAAGAATCAACATAGTGAAAATGGCCACACTTCCAAAACTACACAGATTCAGTGCAATCCTGATTGAAATCCCAACCCTATATTTCACAAAGAAAACAAACCAAAAATTCATTTGGAACCAGAAGAGATATAGAATAGCAAAAGCAATTCTAGGCAACAGAGACATGGTAGGGAGTATCACAATTCCCAACCTGAAACTACACTACAAAGCTACTTTGATAAAAACAGCATGGTACTGGCAAGGAAACAGACCCAATGCTGGGCGTGGTGGTGCATGCCTGTAATCCCAGTACTCGGGAGGCCGAGGCAGGAGGATCACTGTCAGTTCAAGACCAGCCTGGGCTACACAGTGAGTTCCAGGGCAGTCTCAACTACATAGTGAGACCCTGTCTCAAAAAAAAAAAAGACCCAAGGATCAGTAGAAAACATTAGAAGATGCAGAAACAACACCAGACATACTCAGCTATTTATCTTTGACAAAGGAGCCAACCATCCTCAGTGGAGAAAAGACAGCCTCTTCAATAAATGGTGTTGGAAAAACTGGCTTTTATCGTCAAAGATTAAAACTAGATGCATATCTTTCACAATGCACTAAAGTAAAATCTAAGTGGATTAAAGATCTAAATATCAAAACAAACACTAATCACTAAATTGACTGGGGAAAAAAGTAGAACTCTAAGACATTGGCATAGGAGAAAACTTTATGAATGAATCCTCAGCAGCACAAGAACTTGCAAAAAGAACAACTGGGATCTCATTGTATTAAAAAGCATTTGCAGTGCAAGAGAAACCACCAAGAGCTAAGAGCATTGTGGGAAAAAAATTTTACCAGCTACTCCTCAAAGGTCTACTATCTAGAATATATAAAGAACTAAAAAAAACAGACCCCCCCCAATACAAAGACCTGATTCAAAAATGGGCATCTGAAATGAACAGACTATTCTCAGACAAACAAGTAAAAACAGCAGATAAATACATGATAAAAATGTTTAACTAATCACTGGTGATTCAAGAAGATGCAGATGAAAACAACACTGAGATTCTACCTTACCCCAGAAAGAATGGCTGCTATCAAGAAATCAACCAACAACAAATGCTGACAGGGCTGTGGGGAGAAGAAACCCTTCTCCATTGTTCGGGGGAGTGTGGAGTGGTGCAACCACTGTGGAAATCAATATGGAGACACCTCAGAGAACCTTCCAAAAGAATCTACCACATTAATATGTGCACACTATGTTTACAGTGGCACAGTTTGTAATAGCTAAAACTTGCAAACAACCCAAATGCCTATCAACGAGACTGGATAAAAAAGATGTAGTTTTCTATAAAATGGAGTACTACTCAGCCATAAAGAATGAGAAACTAGAGACATTTATAGCTAAGTGGATGCACATTGAGGCCATACTCTTAAGTGAAATAAATAGGACACACTTGAGTAAATACCGGATCGTTTCTCTGGTGTGAAAAACTTAAAAGTACAAATAAGATTTAAATGGTATAATTCATAGTGTGAAATAGGAAGAAAATGGCTAAAGGGGAAGTGGGAAGGGGAACGGAAAGGAAATAAGGGAAAAGAAAAATGAAAAAAGGAAAATGGAAAGTCTTTGTAAATAGGGAAGGGTAAAGGGGGTGAAGGGAGGGCAAGGGTATGTGGAAAAAAATAAGAACCAAGAGATATGTAAAGGTACAAGGTCCCAGTGATAAATGTAACTGTATTGTTGGCTTTAAATGTACCAATAAACTTAACTGGGGGTGGGAGGTAATGCTCTCCTATAAGCAAGGCACTGATTTGGTAATTAGAAATGCCTTCTGTGGATCGGTTAAAATTAAAATGACCTGGATCCATTCTTTTTTCTTTCTTTCTTAATGACTGGGTCAGGCTGGCTCCAAACTCCTGGTCTCAAGGGTTCCCCTGTCTCAGGTCTCAGGTATGGTGGATCCAGTTTCTCAAAGTAGGAAAAATGGGGGCGAATCAGTACCAGAAGCGTTTGAAACGAAATGGAATCATTCATCTGTTGAAGATTCACAGTTCAGAGAAGAGCTGGCGGTCTTGCCCTGGCGATTCCTGGCCATGGGCGAGAAACTCCTTCAGGGAAACTCACCAGGCTCTTGACAACCTTCAGAAGCTCTTCCATGACCACAGCGATGCCCTGGTAGCCAAGTAGCCGGCAGATGACTTGAAAGTGCGGTGGCCCCACGAAGTTCCGGTAGCTGCCATAAATACTGGAGTAGGCCAGGTTCAGAGCCTGGGGAGTAAGGACAGAGCTTTAAACAGTCCCCACACACTCGTGCACATGAAAAGCTCCACAGCAAGAGGCATTCAACACAACACCCTCCTGTAAAGAGATCCACTGGCTCATCGGTAAAATACACTGCCCTTGCAAGCCTGGAGGTCTCCAATCTGTTAGGAAAAGCAAACCTGCTAAAACAGATCCTGAGGAAGGACACCCAGGGCTGGGGGCAGAGGCCCCTAGGGAAGGAGGGCAAGCATCTGTCGTGCGAGGGGCCACTGAGCCCGGCCATGGATGCCAGTACAGAGATGCACAGGAAGACACTGCAGGCAACATTCAGGGCTCTTAGAGTTTCCCTCTCAGGACTACTTTAGCAATGTCCCTAACATTTTTACGTTATTTTGTATTTTCATTCAGTTGACTGACTTTTTAATTTCCCTTGAGACTGCCTCTTTGACCATGATTTAAATAGAAATGTGCTCATTTTCAAGTGTTTGGAGATTTTTTTAAATCTTTCTTTTGTTAAATGATCTATAGTTTGAGTTCACTGTGGTTAGGCAACACACTGTGTGATTTCAGTTCTGTCACTTCTGCTAACGCCTCCTTTGTGGCCCAGGATAGGAGCCGTTCTGGAATGCTCGTGGCCATCTGGAAACATCATGTGTTGCTGTGTGGGGTGCTGGATGTGGGACAATCAGATCCTCTTGGTGGATGCACAGTGAGGTGACTCTGTCAACCGCTGAGAGGAGAGCTGAGATGGGTGGGGTGGGGGGTGTTCATTCACCCTCTCACGTCTGTCAGTGACCACGCAGAAGCCGTGGTTGTTGTATAAACATTTAGAATTACTGTGTACTTGGGGCGCTAACTCTTTAGCATTCACTAATGTCCTTGGTAATAATATATTCACTCACTATATTGTGATGAATGCTTACATAGTTTTTTTTTCCATTTTTTTCACTTTTCACTTACCTGGATCCCCACCCCCACCCCATATTGGGGATTGAACTCAGGACCCTGTGGTTGTGAGGCAGACAACGGTGCCACTGAGCTAAATCCCTGGCCCACTCACCTGGATTATTAGTGTGAATTGAGTTTCTTGAACATGTAGTTGAGTCATATTTTTTAATCCATTCTACCATCCTCTGTCACTTAACTGTTTTTAGACTCCACCTATCTATTAATCTGTCACAGTACTATAGACTGACCTCAGGGTCTTTATACTGAGTTACATAACCAGCCCTTTTTCATTTTGAGTCAGGATCTTAGTAAATCATTTATTCTGGTGTCAAACTTGTGATCCTCCTGCCTCAGCCTCCCAGAGTGCTGGAATTACAGGTGTGTCCTTGCACTGGGCTTTGACTGGTTATATTTAATACATTTATACATAACATAATTATTGATATGTTAAGGGCCTAAGCCTACTATTTTCCTCTTTGTTTTCTGTCTATTCCCCTGTCTTGTCCTCTCCCTGTCTTTTTTTTTTTTTTTTTTAAATCATTACATGTTCGGTACTTAATGATTACAGTAAAATGCCCAACTTATGAATGAATGTCTGTGTTGGGAACTTTCACAGGTGTACTGTGTAAGAGTCACTTCATCTGATACGAAGGAATTCAACTTAGGAACATTCTCCTGGAACGTAACTCGTCCACAAGCCGAGAACTCACTGTCCATGCATGGTGGGGAGCTGGTAGGTGCCCATAACACATCTCAGTCTTCCATGTCCTGTCCACCCACTCCCCCATCTCCAGTTTCATTCTTTCTGCCTCCCTATGGGGTGACTGTCAGTTTTACAACTCTCCGGGCAGAAGCACTCTGCACCTGCTGGACCCCAGGGAGGACTGCAGGTGGGCCAGGTCTTCCTACCCCATGGGACTCGGCTTGGTCCTTCTGCTCTAATAACAGCACAAGTGACTGAGTCCTGAGCGTCCTCATACGTCACTAGGTCTGTGCGTGCTCAAAGGACCGAGAGCAGAGCGCAAGTGTAAGCTGATCACGCAAGACTAAGCTGATCTCATCTGTCAGCATCAAAGCGCTGCAGTCTGCCATGTGGGTCTGCCTCCAAAGAACCAGAGGGACCCTCGGGTGGGACTCTGCCTACATCCTGTCCTCACAGCTCCACCTCAAGCTCTGAATTGAGATTCTGGCATAGAATTTTGTGGATAATGGGATCCAAGCTCGGAGAAACACAAAACCCCGTAAAAAATCATAAAAATGGCTGGTGTTTCAGGGAGGTCACCGAGAGGCATGGCCCATCAGCTCATCGACCTGGTTCCCGGCTTCTGACCCCACCCAGTGTCCAAACGCAGGAGGGACACAGGCTCCACTGGCAGAGCCAGGGAAAGGAGGATCGAGCCAGTGCCACACTGAGAGCACTGAGGAGGGAAGGGAGCCTGGCCTTGCTGACGGCCACAGGACGGGCTCCCCACCCCACAGCCACACTAAACACAGCAGTGACTCGGGTTCTGGCCTCCAGCCTCCGGCTGTGGGTGGGGGACAGCCTCACAGGCAGAGGGAAGCTCACAGCAGCGTGCCAAGCGTTTGAGCAGAGCAGGGAGAGAGGCAAGGGCCCCTCTGAGACCGTGGCGTGTTTGTTTTCATTTTCCCTCCTGACTCAAAACAGCACGTAAGCGAAGCCACCCCACGGTGTCGGCAGGGCGGGTTCCAGGGTCCCGGGTACTGGAATCCCTCGTGTGGATTCCCTCTCCCTGGTGACTATAGGCACCAGATCACTGCCACATTTCAGGAAGATGTTCATGAAATGGAAGAAAAAAATACGTTCTGCATGGCATGATACAGGCTTAAATTTCAAGCCAGCACAATGGAACATAAATGTAATTGCAGCTGCCAGGCATGGTGGTGCATGCCTGTAATCCCAGCACTCGAGAGGAGGCAGGAGGATCGCTGTGAGTTCAAGACCAGCCTCGTATACACAGTGAGTTTCAGAGCAGTCTGAACTACATAGTGAGACCCTGTCTCAAAGAACCAAAAAAAAAAAAAGTAATCACAGGTACTGAGGAGGCTGAGGCAGGAGGACCACTTGAGATCACGAGTTTAAAACCAGTGTAGACAACACTGAATTGGCCAAAGTTTAAAAAAAATGAATTTCAAAATATGCTTCCTGATGAACTTAAAGATCACAATATATTAGAATATAACAGAATATACGCAAAAAATCAAAGAAAAGAACCTACCTTGGATCCATGCAAATACTGGGGTTGTGCATTAGGTTGTTTATCTCTTTGGAATTCCTGGGAAAATGGCAATACTGTCCGAACAAACCTAACAGAGAGAGAAACTGACGTTGGCTCTTTAATTCAGAACTTCCCTGTTACCCACTCAGCTCTTCCTCCCAGCATCAAACTGTCTGAACAGTGGACTTTACAGACTCTGAAATACAGACACAGCAGCTCAGGAGCCACAGCGAGAGCCCTGCGCCCCCTCGGACCCGGTCCCCAGGTCTCCAGACTCCAGAGGCCGTGCCTGGGCTCCAGACCACCTCAGCGTCCACAGCCCCGAGATAACTGCTGATGCGCTCGCTGCCCTGCTCCCTTCCAGACCCGGGTGACAGCAGGACCATCAGCACTCTCCAATGGGAGCAGGAGCAGGACAGGCCACACTGTCTCCGCCAGCTGTGGGTCAGCAGGGAAGAGAAGCAAACCAGCATTTACAACCAAACTCGGTCCAGAAAATGCATCTTGACCATGCATCAGGGACAGCTGAAATGGAATGATTACATTTTCAAGCGGAAACAGCAAGGCTGGTGAGCACTCTCAGCTCAGGGTTTCTTTAAACATAAAGACACAAGCCGGTGTGGTGGCCCATGCCTGTGATCCCTGCACTCAGTAGGCTGGCCCAGGACTGTTAGTTCGAGGCCAGCCTGGGCAACTCAGTGCCTTAGAGAGACCGTGTTGGGGGAGGAGAAGAGGGGAGAGAGGGAGGAAGGTTCACACTTGGCATTTTAAATATCATCTACCACAGGAACGATAGACTGCGAGGACCAAGCAGGAAAAGTACGAGACGAGCTGGACCATCTTGTGGTGCAGAAGGCAGGGCAGTGCCTACAGAGTGAAGTGAGCGAAGGAGGACGCGGAAGCCGTCTGAAGGGGCCTGCTGCCCAGAACAAGGCAGACGTGAGTGACAGAACCCTACTGAAGTTGGCCATAACCGTGAGCTGCAGTCCCTGGCCCTCGCCATAATGAACAGACAAAAGTGTTCACGTGAACAGCGGACGCTGACAGGTATCTGTAGGGGAATGAAGAGTTAGGGACTTACTGATGTTCAAAATAAAAGAGAACAGGAAACAGGGAGATGGGTCTTTGCAAACGGGAAGAAGATCAGGAGATGGAAGTGGAGATAAGGGAAGGGGAGGCAGAAAGAATTCAGGATGGCCATGTATCCACTCCCCACCAGAGAATGTAACCATGTATTGCAGACCGAGATCCAGGCACGGTGGTGTACAACTGTAACGGGAGGATCACCATGAACATGAGGTGAGCCTGGGCTACACAGTACAGAGCAAGAACCTGTCTCAAAAACAAACTCGAACTCACTGATGTTCAATTACCAGTGACATCTGATTCAGGTAAGTAAGAATCACAGATGCTAAAACCACCGAGCCAGATTTCAACAAGCATAGCTTGTTTGTAGTCTCAGGTTGTTCCTTACAAATTACAAAACTCAGATGACAAATGGTACCTCAACGGTGAGTGCCCTGGAGCCACCCCTAGCCAGGGATCTGCTGGGGCCTGGAGCTTCCTGAGGCCCCCTCCTGTAGCTGTCCGCTAGCCAGAGCCTGGCCGCCCCAAAGGAAATGCAGCCACAGGTTTGGTGCCAATGGAAAGCAGAGGGTACAGGTGCCGCACAACAGCAAGGCTCTGTCTGGTCCCAAGAGGTTCTCAGAAAATTCACAGCTCTGGAATTCTGGTCCTGGGCACACGGCTGTGTGTGTCCTCCCTGCTGTCAGTGCATGGCTTGGAGCTATAAAATTCTGTTTTCCAAGGCCCTTTCCAGATAATGGAGCTTTAGAGACCCTAGTGGAGGATTCAGGAAAAGTGTCAGTAAGAATGGGTGAAAGCCACCAGGTAAGCCAGAGCTCGCCAGCAACAGACACAAAGTCCCTGTGACAACTCAGGCCAACAGGAGCTGCAGCCACTGCATGCTGACGGCCCAGCAGGACCAAGTCTGGTCACAGAGAGAGGACGCGGCTGAGGAGGGGCAGGGCGGCCACCACTTGGGCCCATGAATTACGGTCACAGAACCCTGGCAGCCCTTCTGCTGCTGTGCTGTGTGCAGAGGTAGACGTGAGCCCTCTGGCCAAGCTGTCGCCTAACCACACCATGAGGCTCAGGATGCCAGACCAGGTGGCCGCTCTCCAGGGTGGCAGGGCTGTGCCTCTCACTGCTGAGCAGGGCTCTCAACCTGCCCTGTGCCACTATCTAGAGATGGCCCCTGCACGATGAGGCCAAGGGCAGGTGTCCGGGAGTGGGGCAGGGACACTGCTTGTCACTGACGGCACACAGGACAGTCCTGCCGCACAGCTGCCCACCTGTTCTGTCTCCGGGGCCACACAGGGCCACCCCGGACGGGCCTCACCTGCTGTCCGTGGGAATGAGGGGAGAGCCACCAAGCATCCCCTGCTGATTAAGACACACCCAGTGCTATCCACCTGGGATCCGGGAAGATCCCAGTTCTGTGGCAGGGAGTACCCGGGAGCAGAGCCACTCCCACTGTGGTCCCGGACTCATGGCAGCTGGGCGTGGCCGGGCACAGGTCGGCAAGGTGGTAAGCAGGGTTCGCCTTCACACATGCAGTCAGAAAAGTCCCCAGCCCCAAGACGTGTCATGCCTCATGGACAGCATTGTGAAGGCAGGACGGGTGAGGAAACAAGTCAGGATGCTGCGCCACAGGCCACACAGTGTCCACCGCCACAGCACACGACGGCTCTGTGCAAAGCCGCATGACACCAGGGGACACCTGTAGAAGGAGACCTCCCTGCAGATGCCAGCTCTGTGCCTGGGAGAGGATCCAGGCAGGGGCTGCCATTCTGGGAAGTGGCCACGGGCTCCAGAACACCCACAGGAAGGCAGGAAGCACCCGGCCGAGGACAGGTCCTTTCTGTTCAGGAGGAGGACGGTCACAATCAGGGAACAAAGCACCCGCAGGGAGCAGCAAACATTTTGAAGCTTAATTCACCTGGAAGGAGCAGCAGGCTACTGCTTCCATCCCACCACCCCGGGAGCCACAGTGACAACTGAAGGGCGACCCAAGGATACTGGCCAGGGCTTGGGGGCAGCCTGCGAGCAGCAGACGTGTCTTTAGCACGGACCGACCTGTGATAACAGCACGCCTGTTTACTGTCGCAGCACACAAATGCATCTAACTACACAGCCATCGCCGGTGTCCCCGCGGCCACCACGTTTCTTATATTAAATGGTGGCGACTTGCACAGAACCGAGGGAGGCACACCCTCCTGCAGACTAAGTCCTCCCAGATGCTGTGTCGTATGTAACGTGTAAATGCTACATGTGGAAAACTGTACTGTGCCAGTTAGGAAATCATGGCAGAAGTCTGCATATCTGATACAATGTAATTTCTTTCAAATATTCTTGACCTGTGGTTGGTTGAATCCATGGATACGGAAGGCCAGCTGCATACTAAGAACTCTCGAAGAAAGACATTTGACATGGGAAACCTCTGGGAATTTAAGTACCACCTCCACGTCGGTTTTTAGGGACCATGCACAGCCAGGCCCCAAAGCCTCCTGTGCTTTGAAGCTCTGGGGCTCCTTGGCCTGCGCCCACTGCCTCCACCCGGGACGGCCACCAGCCACGGGACTATCAGGAGGGCCGTGCGGCAGCTCACACACCCAGACCCAGACCCACTTCCTGTGTGAAGTGCAACACGCCCCACGGTGTGCACATGTATGGGCGGGGCTCAGCCAGGAGGTGACCCTGTCCCCGCCGGGTGTTTCGAGAGGAAAGCCTGGTGTACCACACGCACACGTGTGCTGCCGGCACCGGAGCCGAGCCTGGCACCCTGCGATCCACCCTCGGCCGGACAGTGCAGTGCACGGCGCCCCAGTCATGGCCGTGACTTGGGCTGCATTGTGCTGCTGCTGCCATCCCAGTCCTTACACCAGCCACTTCCTGTGGTTTGACACAGCAGAAAAATGGCAGGGCATGGGAGGCCAGCCTCGGGACCTTCCACATCGCCTTCCAGGCTGGAGACAAGCAGATTGTCCTGCACGGTTCAGTCGGTCCCAGGAGCCTTTCCCAGTGTGCATCTCACGGTGCAATCAAAGCCACAGCCAAACCCACGCTGGGAACCCTGGCTCCCTGCCCAGGCTCCAGGCTGGGCCCAGCCTACCATCTCCATATGCAGAGCCAGGGCCACCGCCGATGGCCGTCCAGGGCCGCACTTGTGGATGGGAGATGACCCGCACTCCAGGAACAATGGGGAAGAAAGAGAGGCTGAGACAGGACGGTGCAAGCCGGGGGAGGCAGACCCAAGACACCTCGCTTGGGCTCTGGTGCATTGCGCTCACCGGTTGGTGGACCCGTTGTAGCAGTAGTTGGGCAGGAAGTCGTAGTTGAGCTCCCAGAAGACGTGGAGGGTGATTCTCCCGTAGGGCGCTGACACATTGTGGTTGGCTTCCCGAAACATGGCGTCGAAGCTGTCCAGCGTCAGGTACCTGCTCAGCAGCTTGTGGGTCATGCGGTTGATCTCCAAGAGGCCGTCCAGCTCCTGTGGGTCACAGAGACAGCGTGAGGCCAGTGAGCCTCAGGACCCAGCACACCGTGAGAGCGCAGAGGGGCTGCACCGGAGGGGCCAAGAGCACAGCAGGGCTCTGGACGGGAGTAGGGTCGGCTTCTCACACCTAGGGGCCACAGGCCAGGCACTGCTGCGGTGCTCACCTCCCTCTGCCCTGGCCCCGGCCTGGTCTGCAGCACAAGGGAGCTGGTGCTGCACTTGCTCGGGGATCTGCCCTGGGTCAGTTGGCAATGTGCCGAGAGGCCCTCAACAGCACAGATTGGGCTCGGGTGGAGCTCATCAGGTGCGCGTATGCCAACAATTCACAAGGGCCTGAGTTCACTGCCCAAAAGAGAACACAGGCCAGGTGCCAGGGCTGCCAAGCGTGGACACCCACGGCCTTGTGAATGCTCACAATTACAGCCGCCCCCACCACAGCTCACTTCCCAAGGTTTCAGCTGCGCGGTCAATCATAGCCCCAAAATATTAAGTGGAGCATCCCAGAAATAAATAGTACATGAGTTTTAAACAACACGTCATTCTATCTTATTATTGGTTATTATTGCTCATCTCTTACTGTGCCTCATATGTAAGTTATCATAGGTAAATAACATCATTATAAATAACTTCTAGTTCTTTCCCTTTTCTATTGTAATTCTGAGTAAACTACGTACGTGGCTTGTATTACCTTTCTGTTGTATACTGCTGGTCTGGGTCAAAGCCCCAACAATATTTTAATCAAAATCATACTTGTCTAATTATAGTTAAAATACATGGACCTGACCCAAATTGTACTTGTCAAGAGCAGGCTGTCAGGCTGAGTCGGCCTACTGAGTGGGTCCTGAAGAATGCGACCCCTTCCCAGCTGCTGCGGGCAGGCAGGCGCTGGTGCCTGTGAGTCCTCCTGTTCCTGACCCGGTTCAGATGTCTGCTGCCTGGGGCTGTCGCATGTTCACTCCCGGCTGCAGTGGCCTTGCGCTTAGGAGAGTGATGTGGCTGGCTACAAAATCTGCTTTCCTGGAGTGCTGGCAAAGTTCTGAGGATAAGTAGATTGTCCCTCTCTGATACCTCTGCTCAAAGGGTTTTCTTCTTCTCCTTAAAGCCTAATACTTTCCTGCAGTTTTTCTTGATGCTAGCCATGAGAGCCCGTTCCCCAGCTGTGGATGCTGTCTAAGCGGAAGATGTGCGCCCCCCACACCTAAGCCCGCAAGGCTCAGGAGCTCACAGCAGCCCCCAGACAGTCGCTAAGCCGAGGAAACCTCTGCAGAACAAACTTCAGTGTGGGACGAAAGGGATGCGGGCATGCTTCTGCACCACCCTGAAGTCAGAAAACTGCGTCACCTCAGCCTAACTTGGGACCATCGCACTCTGACATCTTCTATTTTATCAACATTGTCTTGAAATAAAAACTTCAATCTTTGTTCTGTTCAGGTGAGATCTCTATGAAATGCACATAGACCGTCATGATCTTCTGTGTCATTTTCTCTCAAATGCTTTTTCTTTGCCTTACATTCTAATTTTTTAAAATTTCTTTTTCTTTTCTTTTTTTTTTGTTATTTTTTTTGGTATCAGGAATCCAACTCGGGTCCTTCACTTGCAAGGCTGGCGGCGGCACCACTGAGGTAAATCCCTAGCCCTCCTTCTTTCTTTTGTAACTCTCAAAATTCATCATTGTGTGCTTTCTGGTTCTGTTTTCACTTCTGAAATGATTTTCTTTTGTTCTTAAATCTTTTATGAGTTCCATCATCTCTTTTCAAAACATTCTTAGGGGCCAGGGATTTAGCTCAGTGGCACCACATCTGCCTTTCAGGCACAAGACCCTGAGTTCAATCCCCGGTTACCAAAACAAAACCAAAAAAGCTTGTCTCCACCTTATTTCTGGATTTTTAAAATTTTTGATTCATGCTGTTCTTCTATAACAGTTATGCTTTTCATATCTTCAGTACAGGGAATTGAACCTCACAAGCACTTTGCCACTGAGCCTATCCCTTCGCCCCCTTTTTTATTATTTTGAGACACGATCTTATGAAGGTATACAGACTGGCCTCAAACTTGCAATCCTCCTGCCTCAGCTTCCCAAGTACCTGGGATTGCAGGTAGGCCTGGCTGTAGCTGCCTCTTTAATTTCTTGTAGCTCATTCTGAAAGAATAGGTAATGGTTTTCATGAGTTTCGAGGCCACCTCTCAAACCCTTGTTCGTGGTGCACTCCATTCTCCTGTCTGTTAAAATATATCTCAGTGGCACCGGATCACGGCCCTTAGCTGTGGCTGAACTGTTAAGTTGCAGAAGCTCATCTGTGCTTTCAGGAAGAAGGCGGCCATCGTTATGGTCAGTGTGGTTCATTCCCAGGAACACTGGTGCTGAGGCTTCATTCTCACAGCAGGGGTATGAGGCAGGGGCTTTAAGAAGCACTTAGGACCCGCCCTTTCTCTACATCCATTTTACTACACCAGGCTCATTTCCGGACATTTACATTGCAATGGCTGGGACAGGAAGTGGTCCCAAGGGTCCTGTGCTGAAGATGTGGTCCCCACTCAGGGTGGGGTGCTGGGAAAGGGACTGGGTGGGAGGGCTGTGGCTTCCTGAGTGGATTCACCATGGACAGCTTGTGGCTTGATGCATTACTGGGAAGTGAAGGGAACTCAGTATGGGGCCTCATGAAGGAGTGGGTACCTGCTCTTGTCCCTGGCCCCTTCCTCCCTGGCTGCCACGAGGTGATAGTCCCCTGCCATGTCCTCTTCCATGATGTTGTACCTCACCACAGCCCAAAACAACGAAGCCCAGTACTGTAGACAGAAGGCTCTGAGACCAGAAGCCAAAACCAACCTCTCCTCTACACTGTTTTTCTCAGTTATTTTGTTAGTGATGAAAAGCTGACAAATGCACTTATCTTTCTATCATTATTATAATGGCAAGTTTTTTTAAAAAATGGACTAGTTCATTATTACTAAGATCTAAGCATGTTACTGAATTAGTAGCATGCTATCTTTCAGCTCAGGTGCAACTCCTTCAAGACTAGGGTTATTTACTCTCTAAAGTTAGTCTAAGTTGCAAATCCTAAGAGAAGATGCTAAAAAAGATACTCAAGAGAGGGAAGCTTCAATTAGTGTCTCTTTGCTATTATCTACACAAAAATCAGACCTGCTATCAGTTCAATTTATCAATAAGATGAAAGTAAAATTAGTTCTGGTACTTACAACTATTGATGTCAAGTCTTCACTTTCAAACCGTCCAATCGCCAGCTCCAGGGACTTGTACATGGCTGCTGACACACGCTGTGTGATCAGGCGATTGAGGTCTATCGACCTGCCCAGAAGCTGCGGGAGGAGAAGGTGGGGACGTCGGGGAGAGGAGTGAAGAGTGAACAGGAAAATCTTACAACACAAAGCAAACATACAACCACCAAACATTCCCCTAGAAACCTGTCTCAAAAGACAGGACAAACTATAAAAACAAAGGACAAGCCATTTATAGGGGGATATGTTAGAAATATTTATATGAAATTGTATATAGAGGTGTTAAAACCAAACATTCTACTTTCCTGGAATTGAAATTCTGCAAGTCAAAGCCTTAAGAAGTACTTCGGTTGAATCCCTTGCATTGAATTTAACTCCTGAACTCACAGCCGCCAGAGCCGCCGGAAGGTCAGAACTTTCAACTATAACTTGAGTGACCTGTCACAACCTAGCTGTTACTCAGGAGGGCCTGGGCATGTCTATGTTTCACGAGTGTTATGCTGTAAGTGAGAGAAAACTCTCCCATCTCTCTTTTGGGTCCTAAGAATGCATGTAGCTCAGTATCATTATGATAAAAATACAGCAAAGCCCTGGTGAGAAACGTCCCAAAATGTGCACAGTGGTTCCCTATTGACAGACTGTGGTAGTAAGCAGAATTTTCCCTACAGTTTCACGTATTTTTCTATGTAAATAAAGTCACGCATCACTTAAAAACAATGCACACTTTGCTGATTCTACTGTTGTACAATCACAGAAGACACATGAACTAGGATGGCTATGACACCACCAGGGGATTCCCCCTCTCTTTTGGTTCTGGTGTTGGGAATCAAACCCAGGGCTTCACAAATGCTAACTAAGCAAGCACACTACCACCGACCCACACCCCTAGCTCAGGTGGGAGCCCTGTGGTAAAGACAGTGTGCAGCTGACCACAACATTGTTCTGTGGTATATTTACCATATGTTGTTTTTGTACAAAACAACCCAAGCATGTCTGCCTTTAAGTTCTCCAATCCAGCCAGGGAAAGCTTGTCCCTGGCCCTCTGGCTGCCTGTGTTTTTGCCCTTCATTCTCAGCTCTGAGATTTGAGCTCCTGGGGGAGGCCTGACCCCTTTCATCTATGCCTGCTTCCTGTAGCCCTGGCAGAGCCTGGGCAGAGCTGCAAGTATCTGAGCTTCCCCATAGAAACTGTCTTTAAAGGGTTAAGAGGCTGAGGTAGGAGGGTCACTTCGGCTACAAGTTTGAGACCCACCTGGACAACCCTGCAAGACTCTGTCTTATATTTAAAACTCTGGTTTCAATCACCAGGGCAGACAGATCCCAGCGTTTCCGGCACTGGCTGCAGCCAACTCACCTGGACATGCCTCTGCTTCAGCAGTGTCTCATAGCGGTTGGACGGCGGCAGGGGGATGGTGGCTCCCTGGTTCTTGCATTCCGATCGTAACCGTTTATCAAGAAGCAGACTGGTACGGGAAGAAGACCGGGTATTTTTCACACACTATGAATTTTAATGGAATCTTCAGGAGTCAGTATTGGAATCACAGACCAGACACTCACCTCCCAGCCATAACCTTATAATATGCAAATATCTGGTCTGCAAGCTTATAAACAAACTGGTCAAAACACAGATTCACCTGAAGAGAAAGAAAACACACGTAAGATGTCAATTCTCTAAAGCAATACCAAGTAACACAACTTAAAAGGTAATGAATTAAGCCTCTTACTAGAAAAGAGAAAATACAATGACTTTTACTGTCCAATATTAGCAATTAAATAAACTGAGGTATGGCCAGGAGTGACCACCGTCCATCATGAAACACTAGAACCTTCCCCTGGCTGAGCAACCAGAACACCCCATCCTCATGCACGCAAAGGGAGATGAAGTAGTCTCCCCCATCTGCTCTGAGGGGTAAACTTGCACTGGCTCTGGGACGCCACTGGGCAGCTGTCCTGGAGCAGGGCTGGTGGCACCAGGCACAGAGCACCCAGACCTGCACCTGTGCTTCAGAGGAGGGGGCACCTTTCCCCGAAAGCGGCCGGAATCATGAGTCCAGCACGGGTGGCCTGGCTGGTGGAGCCTCCTACTCACAAGAACTGTAGCCCTCAGCCACACTTGTCTCCCCCGGCCTGACACCCGTGTGGGGATTTGTCCTCCAGAAATAATCAGATACAAGTGAAAAAGTACATGTTGTGAGTTCAGCAAAGTACTATTTAAAATAACCAAGTGTAAAAAAACTAAAGAAATGAAATGGGGCTTGGCTCGAGGCAAAGACCATACTCCTCTCAGAGAACATCTGCAGATGGGAGCCGCTCACGCTGGGGAAGAAGCCAGTGCTGTCACCCCAGGTGTGGACACCAGGGCCCGGTGTGGGCAGCGTATGCAGGGCCTGTTTCAGGGCTTACATGCCAGACTGTTTAAAAGGCTTCATTCCCAAACACTTTACTTCCATTTTTTCATTTTCTCCTATTTTTTCCTTTCCCTTATTACCTTTCCCCAACCCTTTCCACTTTCCCTACACCTTTAGCCCTTTTCTTCCTATCTCACATTGTCAATTATCTCATTAGGATCTTATGTACTGTTATAGTTTCTCACACCAGAGGAACTATTCGCTTCATACTCGGAGGACATTTAACTAAAGGAAATGCGACAGCACGCAGGGGCAGGACCCTCACCTCTGCCTCGATCTCATCGTAGAGAAACTGCTTGTTGAACCTGGTGAGCGCGTAGTGGGCGCTGTCGTTGTACAGGTCCAGGGAGTAGAGCACGTACCTGTGGAGGGGACGCATCACTCTGAGGCCCTCATCGCACCAGGCCACAGAGCAGGCCTTGCCCTCCGTCTCCCACTGTCTACAAGGGCGCAGTGCATTCCACACAGCAGAAGTCAGTTTGGAGGATCCCTTACACCCTAGAATGCCACAGTGAACAGCCCAGAACAGCTGGGGGGCTGGGTGTGGCTCACTGAGGGTACAGGTTTAGCACACACCAGGCCCGGGATCTCATCCCCAGCCCCACAGCAAAACAGAAAACCGTGAGGCTAACAACAAAAACCCCACAGTGGCCAGAAGAAGGGCCTTCCGAGGGTCTCACCACAACAAATGATGAAGTGGATGGATATTATGACCCCATTCAGTCACTGCATAACATATACATGTGCTGAAATAGCCATGAAGATGTACAACTATTATATACCAATTTCAAAAAGTGAACTTGGAAACAAAGAGGTTACTTTCTCGTTTTAGTAATGAGCTGTGAATGAAGAAGACTGCATGACAGTCTTTGATGTGCTGGGTCAAGGCCAGGAGCCCATCATCCCTTGCTTGTGTGTGGACTGGCAGCAGCCAGAGGCTGAGGGAGAAGCCAGGTGAGCAGAGGGACGGGACGGCCACGCTGAGGAGGAGCCAGAGCCCTCACCACCCAGCACTGTACAGAATGGAAGGCAAGTGTCCGTCTGACAACACCCAGTGCTCCAGGGGTCCTCTGAGGACTATCTTGTAAAGAACCGGCCCACTGAGGGGTCCCCAGTTTGTTCTCCCAACACCCACTTTTTATAGCTTTCCTGTCCACGGAAGTCATTGTAATAGACAGATTCTACACCCCTGACTCATAATCCTAACCCTGAAAACAAAGCTGATCAATAGATGTTTTTTCTTTTTTTGGTACCGGGGATTGAACTCAGGACCTTGAGCTTGCACATTCTAGGGTGTAAGGCGGCAGCACCACTGAGCTAAATCCCCAGCCCTCAATAGATGCTTCTTTTCTCCGTTTCTCTTCATCAGAGGCTGCACCACCTGAGGGACCAGGCTGAATGGGCTGCTACAAAGGTCCAGGCACAGGTCACCTCCTCTGCCTGATCAGTCTTTGTCCAGAGCCTTGCCCAGTTCACCTGCCTGAGCTCCTGGTTTCGGTCTGAAGCCAAGGACCAGGTTCCCTGTGTTCATCCCTGCAGCTCACTCCGGGGAGTGTGATTCCCAGCAAATGCTGAAAGAGTCTTGGCTCCTCCACCCCCACCCTCACCCCGCGCCCACAGGCCTTTGAGACCCAGGGTCACCACAAAGCCGGAGAGGCAGCCTCCCAGACACGTACTCCATCATTGAGGCCTCCTTGGTCTCCAGGATGTGGTCAGTCAAGATCCAGGGCATGGACATCTCGATAGGGAACTGAATCCTCCTGCCCATGGTCAGTTCCAGGAAGAACTCCCGGAACCACAGCTGGGAAAGGTCACAGCACTGCTGCAGAGTTTCTTGAAGAATTCAAAGAACACCGTCTTATCTCCATGCGCAGAATAAGATTCAGCAGAGACGACATGAGGTGCTGAGTGTGGGGTGCCAGCAACTCTGCACTCAGCTCAGACACACACAGCATGGACCTGAGCAGGAAGGGGCCAGCAGGAGCCTCTCCCATGCAGCACAGCGGAGGTGCGGCAGCAGAGGCAGCACCTCCTGCCACAGGGACCTCACCAGACTTGCTCGGGAGGAGCAGACAAAGGGCCTTTGGGACAGAAGTGAAAACAGGACTACAGGTTGAGCATTCCTAATGTGAAAATCACAGCTCTGAAGAGGCTGAAACCTGAAGCCTCCGGCACGGCCTCATGGCGGTGACTCAAGTATCACACGCCTGACCACGTGGGAGCGGTCGGCATCACAGCAAGGTACACCAAAAGTGGGGTACGGGCCCAGGCTGCTGGACGACAGGCCTGTACTCCAGCGAGGGCACTGAGGTGACTGAGTCGCTGTGCTTGCACAAACCAAGATGATCGTGGCATCAACAGGTGACAAAATCGTATGGGCCACAGAGCAACACCTGTCATCGCCAGCGTGGTGATCACACTTTGGAGTCTGAGGCAGAAAGAATGTCACAAGTTCGAGGCCAGCCTGGGCTACATAGTGAGACCCGGTCTCACAAAACAAAACAAAGGAAATTCTGACTGAAATGCCATCACACAGCACACACTGCAGCCACCTCGGACCGTGGTCATAAGGTGAATGCGGGAGTGCGGCTGCTCTGAAACATTCAGAAGCCAGGCTGTGGTGACAGCTGCACCACCATGACAGCCAGTGGTTCTGTAGACAAGAAAAGCCACTGAGCTGCAAACTATGTGGACCTTATGCTCTGTAAAATACATCCCAGTGGAGCTGGAAACTGAATTTCCATCTTACACTTGGATCCCATCTCGAGATCTTTCATTATATCTGTACAAACACCCCAAAACCCAAAAGAAAAAAATCTGTAACACCAAACCTTTTTTCTCTAAGCATTTCAGATAAGGGATACTCAACCTGTACTTGCTCTTATGTAGGATAAAAACCAGTGTCCAGGACTCAGCATTACATGGACACTCAGGGGAGCTAATTAATGCAAAACTAGGCAGATTTACAAAACAAATTTCTACCTTTCATGGGGCTAAGCAAAAGCATTTTATTCCAAGACCTTCAGGATCCCCGGGCTGAGTCAGAGAAGCCCTCTGCTCTGAGCAGAGCAGTGGTGGGGATGGCTCAAGGAGGCCCCAGGAACCCCGTGGGCAGGGCCCCCGCTGTGCCAGGTGGCTAGGTGTCCCCAAGCAGGGCCCGCCTAGCTCAGGGCATGCGCCTCTCCACTCCACTGCCCACGGGGCCATTTCTGCCATTTGCCAAAGCCTGTCTCTCCACCCAGGTGCACTCGCTGTGCTCTTGAACCCCATGGTGGAGGGCTTTGTGCGCACACTAGGCCAGCCGAGGCCCCACGGGCCTTGCGGCAGAGGTTGAGGACGGTGAGAGGACAGCAAGGGAGCTTGGGACACCCAGCCACCACAAAGGTTAGGCCGTCACCGCCTGGGTGGAGAGGGACTGGGCGGGGACGTCAGGCAGCCAGAAGCATTCTGGATGGTGTTAGCAGTGTTAGAGCATGCCAGGCCGGACTCTGGTCAGCACTATCTCTTACCACTGAAATTTATCAAGTGGGTGTAGAAGAATGACTCTCGATGAAATTTTTCTATGTCCAATATGGTGGGCCCCTCAAGGCTACTTCTCAAGGTTTTCTTGGAACCACTTTTATCTGCAATGAGGGACTCTAGCATGGTTCTCACCATGTAAAGCTGTATTATCCAAGGAAACATTCGTAGGGGAGAAAATACACATGGAACATTAGTTATGCCAAACTCAGACACACCACAGGAGGAGGACCGCTTCGGGATGCCCTGCGGGCGAGGCCTCAGGCCGTGTGCCCAGGTCCTCAGTGCCTCTCGGCCGCCCTAAGGGATGGGGGCCTGGGCACTCATCTAAGTGGCTGCTGCTGCTGCTGCTTGGGGGAAAGAACAAGTTGCAGAGGAGCAGTTCACCTTTGTGCCACGAATATCAACAAGAAAAACAAACGATGTCTTACCACCAAAGGTTAAAAGAGGCGGATA